ATTCCAACGTAAAAACAGCAAAAGAGTCCGATAGTGCAATTATTTTTCTTAAAAACGAAATTAAATATTAAAAAAAGGTAATGTAAAAATAAGTTTATTTCCAAACCGGCTCTTTTTTCAAGTAATATAACGATACTTACAAGCAAAGACTACAGTCTATGGGTTGCCGATATAAACCAAATGTTTTTTGGTGATACTAAATCGAAAAATATTAGACTCATTTCCCGACGTTCTTTCTAATTGGCCCAAGGAGCCATGAAAAGAAAATTATATAATTTTAAACATAATTTATTTTTGCTTTAAATTTTTAGGTTACAATATATTAATCTTTTTTTCTTTTTTTTTTTTGTAAAATAAGAAAAAAATATTAACCAGTATTTAAAATGAGTTATAATGTATCATAAATTACAAAAAACGAAAGGTGCATCAAGTAAAGTAGCCTAAATAAATTTGTATTATGAAAACACAAATTACATTCCTTTTTAGGGCAATTTAAAATAATTACATACGGCTTATTATATAAATAAAAAAATATAACCTTAAGTACTAACTCAAAAACTCCTCAGGATTTTCTTTAAATTGAACATTAATATTGTTGATAAAGCTTAATTACTGCTGTTCCAACTGAAAACAATAACTTTTGGATTTAATTTTTTTTTCTATCTTGGACTCCATCTGTACAAACGTCTAACTTGTAATCGACATTCCCGTCTGAAACGAAAAGAAATAGCTCGACGTTTCCGACTACTTCAGCACTAATAATGTAGACAAACGCTCTACACTTCCAGTTAATTACAAAAGACTCATATACATGACTATAATAGGACCTATTTGGACTTACGGAGTTCAGTTTTGGTGCTCCACTAAACCATCGAATTCCTCTCGTATAGGACAATCCTTACAATCCAAAATCCTTCGTAAAATCCTCAATGCTCCCTACTTTGTTACAAATAAAACCATCCATTACGACCTCAATGTTTCTTATGTTTCAGATCTGTCCCAATCCAGATATCTATCCTTCCATAATCAACTTCAGAATCGTTCCAACCCTCTCGTTTCTAACCTTGTTTCTTGTTCAATTCCTGATAACGCTCCGAGGCGACTGAAAAAGAAGATGGCTCCGTGATCTCCTAATGTAGACATATTATTAGAGTGCTGGGTAGTTTCTCAACAAGTGTTTTCACGTCATTATATCCATATGTTCAAATTTATTAAATTGATTTCTTTAATACATCTGTAAATATCATTAAGAAATAAAAAATCTTTTCTCAGTTCTGATCAAATCCCAAACGCATAAGGGGTATTTTGGTAGGAGTTTCGCTACTAATAGCTACTCGCATGTTTACGGATAGAAAAATTAACAGGCTTCTTGGAGGATCGTAAAGCATTCCATATCTTCAGCAGACACATTTCGGCCTTTGACAGAAACTAGTAAGAGAAGATTGTTGCGACTAAAAAAATTAAACTGAAGAGAAGTTTAAAAAATAACTAAATTTTTAAAATTTTAACTTAAAATTATTTTCTAAGTATAACAATTTCACCAAAATAGATATTTCAACTTTTCTTATAATAACTGACAAAATTAATTTAGAGGTATGATTTTCTATCATATATAAGAATCACTTTACACCATTAAGTGTCTCTCCACATCTTGAGGATATCTTATGTTATAAAATTAGGAATAATTTTGAATATAAATTCTTCCGTTTTTAGAACTAATGCCAGATATTTGGTCTTGGTATCTAATCTTGATTTTGATTTTTAACTGAAAATAGAGGAATTACCGGAATACATTTTATATTAGATTTTCACAACGTTCGATTTTCAGTCAATAGACTAAAAAATTAAATTAAATTAAATTATAAAATAAAAATTATCCATTCTCCGGTATTGACCTATATTCTAAATTATCTTTTCACAACTATTTGCATATAGGTAAATTTAATAAATAATCACGCTTAGTTTTTTAGTTAAATGTACGATCAATGTTCAGTTGTGCCATCACCTGACACACACTTCCTATAAAAATTATTTTTCTGTATAATTTATTTTATTTATTGTACATAGAGTGTGAATGCGATTTCTGAACATTATTATAAATGTCATTGAGACAGATTGTAATATTTTTCAATAAATAAGTCCAAAAATTGAAAATTAAAAGAGAAATTGAATCAATTTTGATTTCTTATGGATTTTCTTTTTCGATTACATTCCCTAAATTTTTAGGATTCGCTTATAAACTTTCAATAATTATCTATTATTTTTATAAATGTAGATATTATATGCAATAAGTTATATATATAAAATATATATGTACACAATTTGTATAATTTATATATGTATATAAGTTATCTTCAATATAGAAGCTAAATATTTTTTTTTTTTTTATAAAAATATACTTGCGCCTGTCAAGTTTTACAAGTAAATTAAACATAAAAAGTCTAAATAACATTATTGGAAGGCACTAGTGGATCCAGGATTTAATTTTTTTGGGGAGGCTTCAAGCCGAAAGCTTTTTTTTTTTTTTAAATAACGATAATTACTTTGGAAAAAATGAAAGGAACAATCTATATGAAATGGTGTTTAAGTGATTCCTAAAGTCCTTTTAAATCTGATTAAACGAACAATAATACTTTAAGAAATAATTGTTTAATATTTTTTTCCATAAAACATGGTTATATTTTACTATTTTTGGGTAGGGGCTTCAGCCAGAAAGTTTTTTTTTTCATAAAAATAACGATAATTACTTTGAAAAAAAAAAAGGAACTAACTATCTATATGAAATGGTGTTTAAGTGATTCCTAAAGTACTTTAAAATGCAATTACACGAACAATAATACTTTAAGAGATAATTATTTAATTTTTTTTTTCCATAAAACATGGTTATATTTTACCATTTTGGTGGGGACTTCAGCCCGAAAGCTTTTTTTTCACAAAAAATCGAAAAATTACTTTGGAAAAAAAGAAAGGAACTAACTATCTACATGAAATGGTGTTTGAGTGATTCCTAAAGTACTTTTTTTATTTGTATATTTAGAAATATTACATTCTGTCACATCAAGGACATTTATAATAGTGTTCAGAGAGCACACTCACACTCTAAAGTACTTTTAAATGCAATTAAACAAACAATAATACTTTAAGAGATAATTGTTTAATATTGTTTTCCATAAAACTGGAGAGACTGAGAACCAATTAAAATGTTTATTGAAGGATATACAGGAAAGAGGAGTCTAATTCTTGAAAGGTACATTAAAAAATTTCACAGACTTGCCTAATGTTCCGACGAGCTAATTCTTAGAATTAAGAATACAAGAGTGAGAAAGTCTTATAATTTTATACGGATAAGGGAAACGTAATACATAAGATATATATATATATATATATATATATATATATATCTTATGTATTACGTATATATATATCTTATATATATTATGTATCTTATATATATTACGTATATATATATCTTATATATATTTATATATATCTTATATATATATCTTATGTATGTATATAATTTTATACGGATAAGGGAAACGTAATACATAAGATATATATATATGTATATATATATATATATATATATATATATATATATATATATATATATATATATATATCTCTTATGTATTACGTTTCCCTTATCCGTATAAAATTATAAGACTTTCTCACTCTTGTATTCTTAATTCTAAGAATTAGCTCGTCGGAACATTAGGCAAGTCTGTGAAATTTTTTAATGTACCTTTCAAGAATTAGACTATATATATATATAGTTAATATATAATTAGACTATATATATATATATATATATTATATATATATATATATATATATATATATATATATATATATATATATAACGACTGAATATTACAAATTGAATACAATAAAGGAAAAAGATTAAACTCAAAAACTGTAGAAGGAGGATTTAATTAAAATGGCAGATACAACTGGAGATGGTTGATGGATGACCGGCATTAAACTGTCATTAACGTGGAAAACTGTTCAACTTGGAGCTCCAAATCTTTTCTTCCCCCAACTAGCATCAATTATTCTCATACATGTTTCATTTTTATGTAAAGATAAACGATTATCATTAGAGCAACAAAAAAATAAATAAATAAAATACTAAGAAGTACCTCCAAAACATTTTTAAAATTTTCTTTATTCATTTATTTCTCCATTAGGATATATGCATATTTGGATTAAAAATATCAAAACATATGATAATTAATGAAATTTCCCATTTATGTTTTAGTTTCATAATAATAATAATAAATTATAGAGAAACATATAAATGTTCTCAAAATAATAAATTATAACTAACAGTAGTGTGTAAAAACATAGGATCACAGACAAAGCGAATACCCAACAGAGGTTTGCATACCTGTGTTAGTTAATTAACCTTCATTGAACACTAATTAATTAACAATATTGTTTCTCATCTCAGGGGTCACCAGCTAGCTTACCATCTCTCGCATTTATGTCAAGTTAATAAAATAAATAATGTAAGGCTAGAGGAGTTCTACTAGTCATTCGTTATAGTTAAATAGATTGATGTTAATTTTATTTTTATTATTTCTTAAAACGTATAGTAGAGGAGAAGTGTTATTATCTTATAAAAAGGTCTAACAGGTAAGATTAGAATAGCTCGCATACATTTTCTAATGGATACATAATCATCTATATTTCAAGTCAATTATTTATCATTTTTAAAAAAAAAATTGTTAGTAACGAAAAATATATGAATGAAATGAATGCATGAAAATATATTTCATTATTCTGGGACTTTTGTCCCTTTAGAACAAATTATAAGTGCTGAATACATGTGTAAGTGGTCATAAATAGAGTAGATATTTATAATATTGGTTATTTAAAAGTAAAAATACAGACGGAAAGAGAGAAAAAGACATGAAAAGCGTAAATATACATACATAATAAGCGTGCATAATACAAATAGAGAAAATTAAAATAACAGAAACATTTTCTAGGGGTACCTAGACAGGTCTTTTAGGTATATTTCGTAAACAGGCAGATTGAGAAAGGAGTAGGTGTTTAAAGAGGAGAGGTTTGAAAGAGGGAACTGATTGTGCGTGTCGAATATCAGCAGGGATGGGATTCCAGAAGGAGGAGGCTTGAATTGCAAAGGATTTGTCAAACGCAGCAGTTCGGTGAGGAGGGGGATACAAGTCGGAAGTGCGAGATCTAGTAGGATGGGATTGGATGGAGTATTTAAATTGCGAATACATATATATTTGCGTATGCTTAGGAAATGTAGCGGATGAAATACGATACAACTGCTACAAGACAATTTTCAAATAGATCCCCAACTTTGAGGCAAATTAAATAAGCATATTTTGTAATATAAAAGTGCTCGTTAAAATATAAAGAATATACAAAGACTGAAAGCCATTAAGGTAAGCATACCAGTGATGGACACAACTAAGGAAATGATTGTCTTCGTTTGCTTATGACGCCATTATTATTATACTTATAAATTTCTTTGTTGGACATTTAGAATCTCTAGGGTATACTTTCTCTATTTAGCACTTTAAAATTGAAAAAAATATTCAGTATAAACACTTTTTTTCAGTATTGATAGACACCCCGAACTTCAATTGTTAAAATAATGCTCAGGGAGTCGTAATAAGTAATGGACATGCCTGAGAAAAATTCTAAATTTTTATTTAACTTTAAAGAAAACGATAAAGATAACATAGCATAAACATAACGTTCATCCTAATGTTCAATTTAGTCTTAGTAAAATTGTTAGTTGAAAGGTATGAAATACATTCATCTCAATAGCACTATAGAATCAACAATAATGGGCGTTTTAAAATTTTCTTTTGGAAACTTTGTTCTACAGTTGTCAACAGAGGGCATTGTTCTTTAATCTGGAAAAAAAACCAGAACCTTCAAATCAACAAGGAAGCTTATCATTTACATGTAAAGTCCAACCTAACCATCACTGGTGCGTTCACCCTAATTAACAGATAAAAGATTTTTTTTTTCATCAATAATTATTTATTTTCAACAAAAAAAAAAAAAAACCATAAGGAATGATGGATATTTAGATAGGTAATGTAGGTAATAAAGAAAATCTATTTTTAAAAAAGACCCCCATAGCAGACTGAAACGATTAGAAACCGCCCGACGTTTTCGACTACTGCAGCCCTTACTAGACAAACGCTCTAAACTTCCCACTATTTACAAAAGACATATATATTACTATAATAAGGCCTATTTGGACTTAGGGGATCGACTTTTGGGGCTCTTCTAACCCATGAAATTCCTCTCGTATCCAATCCCTGCAATCCAAAATTCTTCGTAAAATCCTCAATGCTCTATAATCCACAATCCCTACTTTGTCACAAATAAAATCATCCATAACGACTTTACTGTACCATATGTTTCCAATTTAGCTCAATCCGGATACCTGTCCTTCCATAATAAACTTCCGAACCATCCTAACCCTCTTGTTTCCAACCTTCCTCTTCTATTCCTGGTAACCCTCCGAGGCGTCTGAAAAGAAGATGGCCTCTGGACCTTCTAATATAGGAGTGCTACCAATGGGTAGTTTCTCTTCATGTTGTACATGTCAAGTTACTTATTTCATATTTACTAGTTGTATTTATCATTATACAGTTGTAAATTTCGATAATAAAAAAAAAAAATTTTTTTAAAAGGTACAGTTACCTGAGGTATCTTGAAGAGCCTCAAAAGATTGGCAACTTGAACCGAAGTTACGCTGGATGCTGCGCCAACCACTCCCGATATGACTTTCTTCACCTGACTCTTGTTGCACGTTGGTTCGGCATCGTCCAGGTTACTGATCGACCCTGAAAAACAGAATATTGGAATATAAGGAGTAAATAATAGAATTATGCAAACTGTGATTTAACATTCCTATGGATAGACAAAACCTTCAAATTATTATGATTTCAAATATCATGACATAAAATATACTAGCCTGCAGAACATTTCCACATAACTGGAAGGTATCGTCTTCAACAATGGTTCTCACAAATTATGAATTTATTTAAAGCTCTGCAATGACCCAGTTAATACCAAGAACCACTTGATCCTGATAGGGTTTTTTCCAATTAATTAATTAACCTATCGAAGAACCTTCCTCTACATCCCTTCTCTGCCCACTCCAAATTCAATCGCAATCCTTCTTTCGCTTACCCTTTGTGGAGATTCCAGGAGAAGATTCCAGCACCACAAAGGGTTCTCATTACCTTCGATCTCTTTAAAAAGAGGAATCCATAAAAGTGTTCTAAAGTAGACGAGAAATTCAGAGTTGCCTTTTTCCTTTTCAACATTTTAGAGGTAACCATAGAAAACTACAGAGCTTGAATAACCAGGTAACATCAAAGATACAATAGAAATATGCATTCGAATCAGCTTGGAAAATGTAATTTTGTAACATTATTTCACCTTCTGGATTAATAAATAAACGATCCAGGCACAAAAAACAATATTGGAAAAAATAAAATAATACGCACACAAAACGTAAATGAACGCCATTACTATCTACTTCTCCATTTAATACATACTTGTAGGCCCGTGCAAAAAATTCGCACAGGATATTGTTATCAAATGCCAAATTAATAAGTATATAAAATAATGCAACGTATCAAAAGATAAAGAAATTAATTGTTACTTTATCGATAAATATAATCGACAAAGGAAACAAAAATTAATTTAAAACTTCATTAAAGTTTGGAACCAACATGTTTGCAAATTTCAATAATCTGTACCTTTGCTAAAAATTGTTCGATTTCGATGATTTTTCTTTTTCCTTTTGTAGATAATTTAGTAATCTTTTATATAACCATGGGCATAACCAAGGGAAACATGTGTAATTTGTTTGTTATTTCCAAATAAAGTTTGTTTTCTTTCGTAACTTGTTTGCCTGAATTTTCGAGGGGATTGGACTATTTTGCTCACCTTCGAAAATGGTGGCTCAATCTTGAAATTTGGTGAAGAATTAACGTTGATATGGCTTGCCGATCAAAAACACCATTGATAAATAATATAAACTCCTCCTCTCTCGATCATAGAGACCTCAAGTCGACGAAATGAGACATGTATTCAATGACAGTACTACAATTAACGTACGGTTGTGTGGATGCGAACCCTATGCCTTGCGTTATCTCGAAAATAGTACGTTTTAGGGCTTAAAAACGCAGGATCCGGGTCTTGCTGTACGCATCAAAATCTTCAAGGTCCAATTTGTTCCGTATCGATCTACTGACCTACCACCGTTACAGTATTGAAGCCTAGAAAAATGTTTGTATCGACTTTATTTATTTTAGAAAGAAAAACAAAAGTGGAGAGTACGATTCGCTAACCCCCCTTGAAATTCTGAATCCAACGGTACTCCATTCATAGTATTTGAGCATGACGGGAGCTTATATTTGGTACAAAACCGATTTCGAGCCTTACTGTAATAATACATGTGGAGATAATACATCAAAGCAATGATAATTTAAAATTCCATACGTCTCTTAAAATTTAGCTCTCTTACAACAAGAAAACATAACGGATATTTACAAAAAAAAAAAAAAAAAAAAAAAAAAAAGAAGAGAGATAAATTAATTAGCATACAACTAAGGGAGTTTTGTAATAGGAAATATACTAAATAAATAAATATATAAAATGTAAATTTGAGATAAATTGGAAATATTTATTATTGGAATAAATTGAATTATAAATGGAAATAGTATGTTGTTACTGAGTTTAAAATAATAATATACGCCAACACAAAATTTTTTTTTTCTTATCTACACTGTACATGGTGTCTCAGTTCTTAATGACCAAACTCTGTTGGAGGGAGGGGTGATTCTAGACAAAATTTCCAACAAAAAAGTTCATTCAATGCTTCATTCATGGACTGATTCAAAACGGAAAATGACCTAGGACCAATTTTGTGTTTTTCTTAAGCTGGTCACGTTTTTTATTGAATAAGAAGGAATTGCTAAAAAACTGTTCAGGTAAAATTAAATTCTAGGTACACCATCTTAAAGTCGAGAAATCGCTTTTGAGAAAACAGTGATTAAATTTACTAATGTCAATAAAACGGACTTTCAGGAGATCTATAGATTACATTGTAGAGAGATATGCTGCTCGTATATAAGTACTATAAGTGCAGCATTAGAAGTACAGCGGTCGTATTAGACCTTCTGAAAGTTCCTCTTATCATTGAACATAGTATAAAGTGATTAATATTATCCATCTGCTGTCGCTATAAGGGAAAAAATAAAATATGTAGTTTGCTTTATCAATAAACATTCATGTGCGTTCAGACATACTACAAACTATGGAATACACAATTATCTAACAGCGATCTTATTGCTAAAGGAAACTATTTATTTTATTTATCCTGATACCTACACCAGATGAAAAAATATCAAAAATAAGGAACAAAAATACTAACATAATGAAATATAATATAATATATAATAATAATAATTTATCTGCTATTATATTATTTCGGGGAATACACTATACAAATAGAGTTGGACATTAACAGTAATATATACAAATTAAATAATGAAAAAGATAACAATTCTTCGGGTTGCACTGCCAACGTCTCTTTGAACAGCAATCATTAACAAAATACAATATAATAGTATACAATAATAAAAAGAAAGAAAAATCCATAATAATAATACATACACAAACCAATATAAATCATTTGTAAACACCCAGTGATACATTTAAAGAAGATATTAAATAATATATATTAAACAAATAAGAAAAAATATATGCATATATTCCTCCAAAAGTTACAGTTTTTACATAATTTAGCAGTGAAAAAAAATACATAATGAAAGTTTGTGAGAACTATTAAACGCGTTTCAGCTCGTTTGGTTTGAGTCTACATAATATTTCTTGATTTTTTCAGTTATTATTCACCGTGAACGAGAAAAGTTTCGAGCTTCCACGAACCTTTCATATTTTAATTTTCAGTGCTCTTTAATAGAATCACATCTTTATTATACGCTAAGCCCCTGAAATTAAACGAAGGTTTGCGGAGGCGTGATATGAAAGGGTTTTGTTTACACCTACTTAAAACTCAATGAAGAGTCACCATACAAGACTTTTTAAGGTGATTCATTTTCAAATTATAACATTGTAAATATATTTTGATTTTATTAAATGCTCTTAAAGGGTCCTCCAGATTTGATTTCGAATTAATTTTAAATTTCCCAAATTCAAATATATCTTGTATTATACAGTCCTTATTTTTTTTTCCAACTAATTCAGAAAAGATGGACTACCATTCGTGTTGCACAAAATCGGTCTTGGTCTTGCACTTTGCGAGACCAAGACCAAAGCCGCTTGACTGTTGCAAGACAAAAACCAGGACTGGTAAAAAAATTAATTTTTTTAATAGAAATTAATTAAAAAAACTTACTAATACTTGACAATCTTAGTTACTGTATGTTAATAACTAATATACTTTTGCAATCAACTCCTCTAATTTTTCATTCGGGCTTAGTTAGGTTTCTCATATCTAAAAAAATGTAGTAATATCTCTATAGTAATAAGCTGATAAGTAACTGCAAGAATGTTGAGAGAGTCTTGCGCAAGACCATGACCAAGACTGAGTTTGCAAGACCAAGACTCGTCTCGGTGTCGTATTTGGGCAACACTAACTGCCATAAAGGATATCAATCTATTTTAGCCAAAATAAGAAGTTTCGCCATTAAACTAATGCCGATTCTGATTCAAGCGTACTAAAGTACTGTCCAATTCCCATATAAATGTAGTTTTTTTTTTTCTGCAGGACTGCGAGACCCTAATTGACGCAAGGAGAGATTGCAAGATAAATAAGAAGCTGGGCATCGCTCTTGGCAACACTAAGACTGCTATTGAATATTTAATTAAATTTTAAAAAGCATCTAATTACTATAACATTATTTAGACAAATCAACAAATTTTATCTTTTAAAAAGAATTATGGACAACATTAGCTGTGTAATACTTTTCAAAAAATGTTTAACATATTAAGGTACCATTAACAATGTAACACTCTTTGCTAAAAAATTTCCAAATCGTATATAACAAAAGTAATGTTGTTTGCTAATGATCAGATATGGGTAGATGCATTTGTTATATAAATAAATAAATGTAGTTTTAACGTTGTATTTTTTTAAACCGTGTTTAAATTTACATTTATACAGTTTCCATAAACCAAATAAGCTACATTTCATACTGAATTTACTAAACTAAAACATAATATTCAACTAAATAAATACATTTTACAAAACACAATAAGAACATTTATAAATCATGAGCCAAATAATGGTTATGGATATTACTAAAAAATGAATTGATGAGGGATACCTTTATAATAAAAAAAATATATTTAAAAAATTGTACCGACCGATGAAGCGTAGTGAGTTCGTGAAATTTGTATTTCATACCTTGAAAATCCCTCAAATAAGAATTTTCATAGCAATCGAGAGATAAGAATATTTTATGAAGTTACAGCTATTCAATTTCGTATGTGAGATTATAAGTTCAAATCCCGGTGCCAGAAAGGGGTGGAAGATAAAGAAAAAAGAAAAGTAAGTGAAAGTAAAGAAATCTGGTGCCCGCATCATGTAAGTCTCACTAGTTCCTCTTTTTTAACAGAAACTATTGTCTGATAAAATTGGGCTAGGGCAAAAAGTTTTTGATTAGCGATATTAGAGTGTATTGATTTTCCACTCTGATATTCCACAAGCCGGTTTACATTGCGTTTGTTATCAATAAAATCGTATTCAAATCTTTTTTATGATCAATTTTCAGGAAAACAAATCTTAATTCAATTTTTTTTTGGGGGAGGGGTTTCAATGGACACATTTCTAAATCATAAATTTATTAGTTATTTATTAGTTACACACATTCCCTCCCTATCAAAATTCGACATTCCCCATCCATATCCACATTCAAAACCCTCCTATTCCAATTCCTATCCCAAAAACAGTCAGATAGTTGCTAACCATTCGAGCTAATTTTAATAGACAATTTGATACATTTTTATTTTTTAATTCTTTATTTTTTTCGTAAAAGTGTATACTGGTCTATACAAGCAAATAGCTTTAAGTGTCTTGTCATAGTATTAATGGTTTTGTATATAGTTTAGTTTGTTTTGTATATAGAATTTTTACCTTATATTTTTTTTACATTATTTATTTTTTTCGATTGATTTTATTTTGGCCAGATGTAATATTTTAATTTTG